AATCCCCAGATTGGGAAGTTGCCTAGCATAATAAATATTCCCGATAATCATTAACATTTACAGCGCAGCAGATGTTACATTGTGCTCAATGAACGAGTGTGTTGTATAAAAGACTATTTCAAATTTGAACCAGATAGTGGAAAATTAGGAACAGGTCTACTAACCATCTGTTCCCGTTTCGCTTGCCTCTGCAGTCAAATGTTTGCTCGGGATGAAGAGGGTAAAGAGAGCTGGTTTGGCAGGTACACCATTGTTTATCCAAGAGACCCAGCTGATGCACCATCAAACAGTGTCTGAGTGTAGATTATAACAAATTGTCTGCCACATACTGCTCCATCTCAGAGAGCTGAATGGCCACGCTCAACAAAGAGCAGGACAGAACACGGCTGCTGCTGCTAAATGAAGTACCCTATCTGGATGTATTAAAGCCTCCATCAGAGGGAGATAGCTAGCAGTTATCCTGGATAGTAACACCATTGTGTATTGTATAAAGCATTTGAAAAGCACTCTGTTGATAACGACAACAAATTGCCACTGGTTGATCTCCAAAATACTGACATAAAAAAGTGTAAAAACGTTCCTCCCTGGGAATAAAGAAGCAGCTAATGGAGGTTTGTTGTGTGTATGAGACAGAAGATTTGGACTCCCCCCTTTGAACACCCCCATGTGTGGTCATGATTATGAATAGGGGAACACAGAGGCCTGTACCATCGCCGTGGGAACTAGGACTACGTTAAACAGTCATTATCAAGTAGCTCAAGCCAATGTAAGTAACAATAGTTAGGTAACAATGGATAACCAAAGCATATCAAGCTTGAGGGGATGATGTGTATTGTTGTGATGGGCTTTAAATATGCATTTGGTAAGATGTTTACACCAAAATACGCTTGATGTTCCAGCTTGAATCACAAAGTGGAGCTGCAGTAGCATCTATACAAACAGAGATGTCATAGATTTGACCTATTTGCCTGAGTTAAATAGAAGTGTTGGGGTCGAACAGAAGCAGAACATAGTCCCTTTCTTCCCAGTTTAATGACATCACAGTTCACCTTTTTCTGGATTTTGAAGTTTTCAAACTCCAAACGGGGACGACTCGCTGCCATTTGGGACTGACAGTGTTCCAAGTTGCTCGCTGCAGCTTTAAATAGACGACATTAATGAGTGCCTCTTCTAAAATATGCATTGAGTCCTATTTAATCTTTGCCTTCTCACATTGAAGTGGCTAGAGGTGATTATTCTGAACTTTACTTGACTGAGGCACAAATGGATTTCTCTTGGATGAGCTTTGCCCGAGTAATGCTAAATGAGCCAATCATTGTCTTTTGAAATATTGTTGGTCGCGGGCCAGTTCAGCTCAAGAAAAAACAGGAACAATAGTGTTACATATCCATTACGGGATGAGATGCCAAGTAGCAGTTGTTTTATGGGAAAGAAGCTTCCTAGGCTTTAGGGGAGGCACCCTGGTATTCAATTTAGGGCTTTAAAGTGATGTTATTGTTTTACATGTAAAGCAAGCCCTAGTTTAACATTGTACTGAAGAATATATGGGATTAAAGGGATGGATGAATGCAGTGTTTTCGGTGTTGAAACTTTAATTTGATATGTTTCTCTCTCTGCTGCAGACACGATAAGCAAATATAAAATGTCAATGTCATGTTCCTCATCCATTTTTGATATGTTACAGAATCATTTAATCTGTTATTCACTTACTGTGTTGTTTTCCCTTGCGGGTAATACAATCTATGATTGATTTATTCCGCCCTTAGCTCTTTTAATCATCAGAACTCTTTGCAGTGAAGTTTCCAATGCAGGTTTATATTTTCTGGTGCATTGTCCACACACCAAACGCAGCACATTTGACTGAAGGCTGTTATTTAGTGCATGACATTGTCCACAATGCCATATGCAAACAACACAAAGCACATTTTATTTCCTTTCTGCCACATCTTATTATAGTTGAATGTTGTGTGAACGGCTCTGTGCCACAGCCATGGGTGCCTCGTCCTATCAGAGGGCCAGACGCTGCAGCAGCTGTTTTAATAGAACACCTTATGTCTCTCTTCATCCAAGTCAGCTCACCTGGTGTGAATCAAGTCACTTGGCCATACTTTGTTTGTTTGTGTGTCCTATTGCCTTCCTTCCAGAAATAGGACTCCTCTTTCTCTCAACTCTCAAGGCAATGTCTAGCCCCAGGTGTATTAAAGCATGACTGCCCCCCCTCTTGTCAGGGTTAGAACAAAGCAGCAGCAGCACAAGCGACAAAACCCGCCAGCCCCACAGCACACCTACAAATCTCCCTAATGCTCCGCCTTCCTCTCTGGCTGTTTTGCATCTGACTATTTGTCCTTCTCTTCTCTCTGTTTTTGCATCACTGGCTCTCACAGCCCCTCACAGAATCTACCTTATTGCATGTGGCTCTGCCCTTCTATGGCTTTGCCGCTCTGTGGTGTAGTCTGTAATTACAGCTTTATTCTGTGAGCTCAGCCAAGGACTCCTTGGTTCTTCAGTGAAAGGGGTCCCTGTGGGCGCCTGGGGTCCTTCACGGAGGGGATTTAGGCTCTGTGGCTGTGTAATTATGCCTATTCCTCTGGTTTCCATTTGCCTGAGCTGCTGTTTATTTGGTTCAATCTGAGCGGGGAGCATCTGACTCAAAGGAGGAAGGGCAGAGGAAAGGAAGGAGGGAGGGAGAACGGGAGGGGCTGGAGCTTTTCACAAAGCCAGCCCTATTGTTTGAGCATTCAAGTGGGTGAGGTCTGGCCAGGTACATATTTGTGAGGGCTTTACGGTCCCCTCCCACCCCCACTTCTATCCAACTCAAGATTACACTTTAACTAGTGTCGCCGCACAGTAAATTGTGTTTGCTATTTCAACAAATATCACAGTACAGCTGCCACAACTGGTAATCTAAGCTGTGATAAAATAGAGGGAAGAATTGCCCTGCGGTGCACGAGGACACAGGTGTTCCTCAAGGTACACATGACAAGGTTGCCAGTCCTCCCTGTCAAACTGTATTAGTAAATCAATCTGTCATCGTCAAATGCCCCCCAAGTTTAAATCTCTATAGAGAGGGTCTCGCTGATGTGGTCCGAAGGAAATGAAAGATGATGTGAACTCAGTAACTTCAAAAGGTTGTCACTTTGTTTTTTTTATATCATTTGATGTAGGCAGTGAAGGCTGTGCTTGAGTGGAGGCTATAACTGTGTGTAGAAATGCCCTTTCTCTCGTGATGCTCTGCTTTTGAGAGTCGTGCACCTTGCTGTGAAAGATTGAAAGAAATACGTTCAACTATACTTAATAATAGGAAACCAAATATTTCCTCTCTTTTGTGCATGCAAGTGTCCTTCAGATGGCTATCTATGGTTTTTATTGGAAACATTTTCATTAGAATCGCTGCATCTGCTTAGAACGTTTGACAGCCTTCACGCACTCCCCCCCCCGTCTGCTTATGATTCATGTAAAGTTGAAGAAAGACTGCATCTGATACTGAATTCTGTGGGTGTACACATACATGTATTCTTACACATTTTAAAGCCCCCTGTGGAAAGTTTATCTCTGACCACAGCGATTATCCATCATTGTGATGCAGTTACTCAGCGTTAAAGAGCCTCTCTGTTTGTGAGCCATGTGTGTAGGTCCCAGTCCTCCACTTGAGGCCACAACATATTTTCTCCCTGTTTGTGACTTTATTCACTGTTGGCTTTATGAGTCCAGTGTGATGAACGGAGGAATTTCTGTCTTTCTTCCTGTGGGTCCTATTCTATCCATAGGAGATAATTATAGTGGTGACTGGTTGTAAATAAAAGCCTAGCCAAGGGTTGTCAGACCTGGGAATGAAACATCATCAGCCCTCACCTGGAAAGAAACATAAATCAGAGGCTGAGGTAAAAAAGATGTGAGGAAGACAACAGGATGCTGCAGTCCAATGACACATCAGATTGCTATCATTTAAGACCATGGGCCAGGTGTGAGTGGAAGTTGGTTTTCTGCAGACTCAGAATAAAGGAACAACAAAGGGAATGTTTTTTGTCAATATTAATTGTAATGGTCATACTGATCATTATTAAATGAAAAACATAGAAAACAACAGATCCTCAATTTTGAGAGGCTAAAAGTAGCAAATGTTTAGTATATTTGCTTAACAGATAACAAAGAATGATCATCATCATTTTATATTCTGTCAATTAGTGAATCACTAGATAAAGGCAGGCAGATTGAAAGGGACAGCTAATGCCAGCATGTAGACACACAATGCATCAAGACATAAAGCCAAAGGACATGAGAAACAGAGGTTTACTCTAGAATTTAGTTAAAGGTCAAGATATGCATAAAGATGAAACCACAAGCGGGATTAAAGAAGGTCCATCCTTGCTAATTGACCCTTTTTTCTACCAAACTCCCTACAGGCTCGGGTAGCTGGGGAGAGGGGCATAATTGCTAGTGTTTTTTATATGTATGTTTTGAGTGCTTACTCTTGCATTGTTTCTTTAATAGCAGCTCCAGGCACTCATTGAAGTATTTCTGAGTAAAAAGTAATTAAAATTACAATGGGCTAGCCAGAGTTTTGCGGGGTAGGTGGCAGGGCGTCGCAGCACACGATGACTTGGCTCCAACTCACTGCCCTTGTACTCATTCATTACGGATGCATTGGTTCTCGCTTGGTCCTTCCATCTCATCAGTTACAGTACCCCCATGGACAAAGACAGGGTTGTAAAGAAGTGCCCATTATGTTAATAACCCCCTGAGTTTTTACATGCAACCTCCATGTACCAACCCTTTACAATGATGCAAAGGGTGCAGACGTTGCTTTTGTAGCATACTGGGGATTGTGTGGCTCAATCCATGAGTTTGACTGTGCGTGCATGTGCTACCTAGGAGGCTGAATTGACTCCTTGACTTTCAGTGCATGTACTTGCTATTGACTAGAGTGCTCTGCTTGGTCTTGGACACTTGTTAATCGTAATTCAATGTTGTTTTTTTCTGTCTCTTTCTTTTACTTCTAGCTGGCGACGGGCAGATGGTGCAGATGGACTCCAGTAAGTCTGGCTTTGTGGGATCACAAGTTGAGCTGCGCTGCATCTTCATCAACAGTAACCCTCCCGTCAAGATCTCTCAAGTCACCTGGCAGAAGCTCCTCAACGGCACCAAACAGAACGTGGCCATAGCCAACCCGGCCCTCGGCGTGTCAGTCCTGCCGCCCTTTAAGGAGCGTGTTACCTTCAAGCAGGCGGCCGTTCGCCACCGCACGCCCTCGCTGGAGGACACCACCATCGTGTTCTCCAACCTGCAGCTGTCTGATGAAGCTGCCTACATCTGCGAGTACACCACGTTTCCAGCAGGAAACAGGGAGAACACGGTCAATCTCACTGTATTTGGTAAGACATTGTGTTGAATATGTTACAATAATAGCAGTTACCTGAAAGGCAAAACTGGCAGGAAAATGTATTTTAGAGAAGAACAATGCCTCCTTCAAGGGTGGACATGTTTACCCCGTTCGTGAGAAGAGACCGTGTTAATATTCCAATACCCTACCAGTGGTGTTCCCATGATTTAAACACTTTCGTATGGTTTGCTACAACTTCCCATTTCGTAGAAGCAAGTTGGCAAGTTTCGTTTTAACAAAATATATCAAAAGTCCCCCTGCATAGATTTGAAGTTTATTAATCTAATCTCAGTTCTTCTTTAGCTAGATTGTATTTGCCTTCATTGACACAATAGTTGCACATTCAGCACAGGTTTTTGAATGCGCGTTTGTGGGCGAATATAAATGCCTGCCTTATCAAACAAGTAAGTTACAAACTGTAACAGCCTTCTTATGATGATATTTTGTTAGTGTGCTTTTTTGTGTTATTTAGCTTGAAAAGTAGGAGAATTGTCTCAATGACTAACTTAATTAGGAATGTTTGCCACCAAACATCTTTAAAAATGATCAAAATGTGTAGGTGCACTGTTTTCAATAAAAAATCTAAAATGTAACCACATTCAATACCACAACCTTTTAATGTTGGTAACCAGGGTTTTTATGTGCCTTAGTCAGCAATTAGTCATTATAAAGCTTTCACATGAGGAAAACACATTTGGGAAGTGAAAGACAGATATCATCACATGTCAAGCCAAAAAAGAGAAGAAAAAACAGGTTGTGCACCCTAGCCAAGGAGTTATTTCCTTGAAATTCTTATTGTTGGCGTGATAAGAAGTCAAAGGGATATAAAAGCTGTCACCTAAATTTGGTTTATCTTCGACTTGAGGCACAAAAAGAAAAATGTTCCAAATCAGATAACACAGAGTCAAACTAACTTCTTCCCTTATAGTGAAAGCCAAAAAGAAAACACCTTCACAGCTCTGCTCTTCAGTGTGACATCGCCACAGGCAGTGTTGTAAAGTAGGTTGAGTTTCTTTGGAAAAACTAAAAACCAGATGCTGCTCTGGAGCTGCTGCTAAAATCAAGTTGTTTACAGTTAATACCATTGCCACCCAACACGTCTCTATCCGTTGAGGACCTTGTTGTGTATACATGTTCATTGTTGGGGTGTCATTTAACACCAGTCCCAGATTGGCTCATGTGGCTTTTATAAAATAGGATACCGCTGAAGAGAGCAGTCAATAAAAATGGCAGGTGAGACGGAAATCAATAAGGCCACTTCAGAGTGTGTCATTGGGCTTGAATAATCTCCTCTAGTGGGAAACAAAGGAGCATCTGGGACTTAGTTGACTTTGGCAAGAGGCAGCTTTGAAAAGGTTGTACACTGACTTTGATTAGGGATCTAATTAGAAATTAAGTGTTGCTGTGTTTTCCATTAAATCCCAGTAAAAAAAAAAAGCACTTAAGTAGTCCCTGTTGCCGGGGCTTCTTGTCAGCTCTGAGTCCCCGTTTTGTGTCACTGAGCCTCCCAGGTCTTTTTAGGCTTCTGTGGCTCAGTGAATGTGAGGAACCTGTGTGTTGATAACCAACCGGCAGCGTTCAAAGAGGCCTCTTCATGGCTTATCTTTTCAGTTGTGCATTCGCTCAAGCTCAAGCCTGCCTTTTGATGTACCAAGAGTAGATTCCTAATTGGCAACTCACAAAGGATTTCAAATTGGATGATTGTGCATTTTGGTAGGAAAGTGGGTTCTACATCTGTGAGAGCTTTGACAACTGCTTCGGCTTTGAGAAGGCAAGAGGCAAAACATTGCTGTTTTGATTTACAACACTGTTTTCATCTCTCATTCCCTTAGTTAGTTTTACTCTGAGTTCAAAAGGCTGATAGTAGACAAAATTAGACACTTTAATGAGATGTAAACTGAAGGAAAAAGCACAAAATATTTGTTTAATGAGCTTGACTTCAATTCATTTTGATTGTTTAATCCTTTTCTTCTCGATAGCCCGGCCTACGACACGTATGACCCTGACAAGCCCCACGATTGTGGCCAGGTCCACGAAGCGCAAGATGACTGTCGCCACTTGTATATCGGCCAATGGGAAACCCCCAAGTGTTATCAAATGGGACACCAGTTTGAAGGGTGAAGCCACTTTCCAGGAGACTCGCAACCAAAATGGCACTGTGACGGTGAGGAGCAACTACGTGGTGGTGCCGAGCCGCGAGACCCACAAACAGAAGCTGATTTGTATCGTGACGTACCGGAGTGAAAGGATCACAGAGAGCGTGGTGCTCAACGTGCAGTGTAAGAATCTGCTCTTTTAAAACTGCCCTATTGAGAATGTTTTAGTTTTGTTTTTTACAGATTTAAAAAAAAAAAAGTCCTTTAAATGAGCAGGCTGGTTATCTTCACCTGGATTTAATGTTCTTATGAAATTATGTTTTTGGTTTCCTGCTGTGTAAACCGCTCACCATTGTTTACAGTAAACAAGGCCCTCTTGCAAAACACAGCTCAGACCCTTTTCCAGTTAGACAAGTCAAGAAAACAAATAAACATGTGCTGCTAAGTATGCAGTACTAAGAACATGTTGGGATACTTTTTATATACGTTTTACAAAAAGATTTCCCCTTTTTTTCCCCTAATTATTCACACAATAAAATGTCAAAATGATTAAGAAAAATAATGGAACAATGGAGGACTTTTATATGAAATGTCATTCTCCTATGCACTACAGGTTAGAATATTCTGTTGTCCTTTTATAAGTATTTACCTCCAAGTACAGCAATGCAAAGTAAAACGTTTTTTTTGTGTGTGGGGAAATTGTTTAAAAGTGTAAACACTAGTTAAGTTGCTGTGACAGTGGTGCAATGATGCAACAGTGTTTTGGGATTATGTTGTGCTGACCTGACTGTGGTGTGCCTTCCTTGCAGATGAACCCGAGGTGACGATCGAGGGCTTTGATGCAAACTGGTACCTGAACCGTCAGAATGTTCAGCTGACCTGCAAGGCTGAGGCTAACCCCCCTGTCACCATCTACCAGTGGAAACTGTGAGTCTCACTAAACCCCTTAAGGCTTAGAAATCAAGACAGCATTGCTACGAGTTGTTTCACTCACAATAAAATAAAGTGTTTATGTGGAGTGCTTAGAAAGGCAATTTTATAGAATGGCCTAGTCGAATGTAGTCTGCTCTTTTCCGACATTTGTTTCAAGGCAAATATAGATATACATACAAGAAAGTAATCTCTAAAGATAAAAACACTCCAGAAATGTTTCCCCGTTTATTTATATGTTTTAAAATGTGTAATGAAGATAAGCCTTTCAACCTGAGGCAGAGCTCAGCGGTCCTATTACGTCTGCAACACACACGCCTATCTGCCCGATGGTCACAGATACTGGAAGATGAATGGGAGCAGAACTCGCTTTGCTTCGCTTTTGGGGTTTTGCTTTGAAGTGTGAGGACCAGCATGCAGGTAGAGGGCTAAGAAAGCGCAATTGTTAATGCATTTGTGCTCATGAGGGCAGCGGTTTGTCCCTGACACACAGAGAAGAGGGCTGAAACTGAAAACCGGAGTATGAGCCGTGGATTAGGCCGGCATTCCGCAGGGCTGACATCAGTGTTTTTGCCTGACTGTGAATACATGAGCAAGAAGAGATGCAAACATGTTTTGAAGGCCTCTGGTAATCTCCCAGAGGCCCCGGGTTTGATCTGTTTTTAGTAATTGCATGAAAGTCGGTCACGCAGAAATTATAGTTTACATATGAGCACCGACACGTGGAAGGAATACATCCAAAATGTAGATTTGTTACACCATCACTGGCCCTGATCAAACACCATGATTGGTTTTGGTTGTAGGGTGCCAAATTAAATGTTAAGTTAATGCAGCTTTTTGGATACAAAGCAACTATTGTGAGTGTATCACGGTTTAAAATGAATGTTTTATATGGTAACATTGAGAGATAAATGTAGCAATTTGTCGTGTCATTGCTCCGTGAACGCTGGGTTGATAAATATGTCACTGGACTTGAGTGGATGTGGATTAATAGACCATTGTGCCCTCATTGTATCTACTCTACAGCCCGCTGTTGGATTTTAATGAGACATGGGGAGTTTTTTTCCTCCCGTATGCATAGATTCAGCTCTCGGGGCAGACACACTGATACACACAGCAGCTAAAGAAGACGACAAGATAGGGAAGCTTTGACCTGCTCGGGGTATTTGTTCCCTTTATCAGAGGCAAAGGGAGATTTAAGGAGATAGGGGAGGCTAGCGAAGGAATAGGAGGAGGCTGAAGAGATGTGATCTAGAAAGACGAGGGCACTGTGCTGACAGATAGGAGGGGACGGCCATTGCTGCACTGAAAATGAGATGCCAAATCTGTTGTGAAGGTTCCCCTGGGCTCCTGTGTGGAGGTCAGCACAAGGCTGTGACGGAAGGATCCGGAAGCAGCCTGGCACGATTGCGTCACACTACACCACAAAAGCACACACACGAGAGGTGTAGCCAAATCTAGTAAATACTAATATATCTGTGAGGAGGCCCACATTATTTGTACTGCTAAATGAAATGTAAATATGATATATCTTATTGAATAGATAATAATAATGGTTAAAGGTTCATTTATTTTGTAATTCATTGGGTTCATATGGCAGCTATTTGTTTTTCTGTTTCCACACTTGCTTTGTTTCCCTGCATTGTGTGAAAAAAAAAAAAATCATCTGAGAATCTTTGATTTTCTTTGTTTTTGTAATAGAACAATGCCAGGGCTATTTCTCTAAATGGGTTAATTGGGAGCTGCACATAACTAATAATGGAGACTCTACAAAACAAAGGACAAACCCTATTTGAACTTTATTGTTTTTTAAAAAAAAAATGTTTGCTTGTAGGGCATTCTTCACTCACCACGCTCGTTTCCAGTGCGCCTAATGAATACTAAGTAGGGGTAGTGTTGTTTTTGTCATCAAAAATAACTATTACTTGTGTGCTAGGATTTCTTTTTTTCTTTCCTGAAAAGCCATATTCACACACACACACACACACACACACACACACACACACACACACACACACACACACACACACACACCACACACCCACACACCACACACACACACACACACACACACACACACACACACACACACACACACACACACACACACACACACACACACACACACACACACATGGGGCTCTATAAATAAGAAAGCAGTGTTATTCTTATCACTGCGTTTTGCGGTGTGATTACTTCTAACTCCACTCTAATTAGCTGGCTTACTTATCTCCATTGTAAAAATGTGATTATATTATTCATGTCGATTAAAGGCCACAGTAAGGGAACTGTTGGTGCGATTCACCAATGGCTGTGGATAAAACGCACAGATCACTTAATATCCCTTTAAGGCAAGTTTATTGCCCCTTTTATTTACCATAAGCAATTAGTAAGTATTGCTAATGCTTTCTTAGTCTCATCAAAGACAATGAAACCGCACGCTCGACACAAATACACAAACACATTTAGGCTAATTAAACGGATGTATGTTTGATTAAAGACGTCCTTTATCGCTACTTGTTTGTTTGTTCCATGTCCAGAAAGTATTAACTTTTTCTCTTTGAAGAAGATTTTAATTTCCTGCAATCAGGCCTCTGTTTCCAATGTAAACAATCTTATTTTGAGATCTATAAACTAGAATAACAAGAGCATTGTAATTGTAGGCATTTAAGCATACACAGACTGTTTTATTTTCAGTATTGAAGTTCAAAGCCACCTCCACACAATGTGGGTTGTAGTAGCATGGCGGGATGATGAATGGACTGTCCTTGATACTCACACACACACACACATTCAGATGTCTTCGTACAAATGATCAGGTCGCCGCAGAATCTGCGGTGAATAGCATTTAGCCACCTTTCCCATTCTGCAACAAATCAATTGGGCTTTGCAAGACTCAGCATTCGATAGAGGCTCACAGGGTAACTGATTATTGAATCGTGGCACACTGTACTGTTGGTTGTTTGCAACTCTCTTGTACAATGTCACCAAGGTGGCCAATGAAAAACAGCTCCACCACAGCTCTTTCTATTACCCTTTTGTTCCCAGCTATGGACACTTTATCATTGAAAAATGTAACACTTCATATGAAGGTCATACTGTATCTGTAAAGCAGTTTAGCAAGCCTCATTCACATTTTAATGCATATAGGGCTAATTCAAATGATGTATACATACTATAATCACTCATGAATATGTACAGTATTACACGATTTATATACTATAAAAAAAGTGGCTGACATATTGTATTGTAAGTTCAGCATTCATTGTGCTTTATATGCTTTTTTTGCGATTTAAATATTGTATACCCTCTCTTATGTCTACCACTTTAAATACTGATGAATATGCTTGCAATGCATACCTGAAGACATGACGTTTCTTATAATATATTTTTTTTTTAAATCTCCAAGCTTTTCATACTGACTTGCCTAGAAAATCTGCTCCATTGTCAGAATTGAACCACATATGGATAGGTCGTTTCTAAGTGACATTACCATGCCACTGTGTCTTTCCCCATGTCACTGAAGAGCCTTGTTGAAAGCCTGTTTAGTGCAGCTCAAGTGCTTGATGTGTGGCCTTTGTTAGCATGATACCTTATTTAGTTTCCTCTCTTATATTACATTTAATTATTTTTTCTCTGGCTGTACTCAATAGAGCTTTACATATACAAAGTGTAGGGTGTAACCTCTTTTGCAGAATCCTTAAAAAAACAGCGTCACCCACACCCAGCATCCCCACACAGTCACAGCTATGATACTATCACAGTCTGTAGCTCCACTTGAGTAGGATCCATTCACAGCAGCTGATGAAGCTCATCGAGGGGAAGCTAACAGGAAACGTCTTATTGTTGCACAATTTGATACCTTTTTTCAAGCCTCCGGGCGCCACAAAAAGGGTCCAGATAATAGAAAGGAGGTTTAGTGAGCTCGTGATCCCTGACCTCAGAGTGTGCTGACCTGATCAAAGGACATGAGCAAGCCTGAACGCGGGACATAAAGTGAACCATGAAGACAAACACCTCAGGCAGGGAGACGGGCTCCACTTCTCATTGACAGCCCAGCATTTGGTAGATTCTACATTTATCGCTTGATCAGCTGCCTCTCTTGACAGGCCCCCTGAGTCTTCAATCCAGCCATGTGAGCGGTGCCGTAGTTGAGCAAAGAAGCCCCCGTCCTCCACCCCCACCCTTCCTCCTACCACTGTCTGTTTTGTATTCCACCTGCCAAGAGAGCCTGTGTCCTCAGGCATCAACTATGTCTTGCCTGTTTGGACCTGCTGGGATTCCCTGTCCTCATAATTTTGTTTGGACTTGATGGATGATGGCTGAAATATAGCGCTGTCAAATATTTCTGGTATTTATCTTACCCTCGCACACACATCCAGGTTTGTTTTTGCACTAGAGACTGTATTTTTCATGCGCCTTGAAATGCTTTTGCTGCTCCTAGGGGAGGGCCTAGCTGGTGTAATTTTGCCTTTTTATAGTGTCTGTATTACCGCCTCTGTCTCTCCCCACAGCTTGAACGGCTCCCTGCCCAGTAATGTGGAGATCAAGAACAACACCCTGTTCTTCAATGGACCTGTGACCTACGATCTGGCCGGCACCTACGTCTGCGACGCGACCAACGGCATCGGGACTCGAACTGCCATTGTGGACGTCAACATCACAGGTAGTTTGATACAAGCGCTCGCTTCCGTTCTCTGTCTCTTAAGTAACTCCGGCATGGCTTGCGTCAATACAGTACCCTGCTAAAGAGAACCATCAAACCCCCTATTCAAGCAAACATTCACACACACATGATGGAAGATGATAGTCTGGGGTTTCTTGATGCTACTCCCACCTGGCCTGGCTGTGTGGCCCCCCCACTGCACTGTGAGTAAGGTGAGATGAGCTTAAAAAAAGCCTCTGTGTTTGTGTATCATCGCTACTCACACACATTGTGAGAACACAACAGCCGCCCCCTCTCACCCTGCCCTGTTACGCACCCAGGCGCATGTGTGGGAGCGATATAAAGCAGGTCTATTATCAGCGCCTAAAATAACATCAAGGAATATGGGGGTTTGAGGTGAAGGTACTGTATTGATCATAGTTTGCTCGCATCACGCTCCCATTTCTCCGAACAGCCCGTGCCTCTTTTGTAGTGGAGCTCTGCCTTCGTTCTTTTGTCTCTTCTGTCTTCTGGGGAAAACAAAATGCTGAACAAAACTGATTCAGTTCCCGTGCCTTCCACATAATCGCTGGCACACACGCACAGTGGTTCCTCTGGGTTTTCATCCATAGGAGACATATTTTGCACTAAAAGCCCTTGCTATACCAGATTTCACTATATGAACTGTTAATGTGGGAATCTTTTTCTATTGCTAGCAGCTGTGTGTGTGGTATTGGGAGACTGTGACAGTTTTGCTCTGGTCGGACTGGAAGGACTTTTTCCCTTCACTCTTTGTTCTACTTGTTTTCTGGGAAGCGGGGGTGTTCTAACTTGCATTGCTTTGCATGTTGACTCATGTTGTGTCTCTGGGAACGCTGGGCTTGGTGTGAAGTGAACAGCTGTGCCTTACAGTATCATTGGATACTTTTTGTTTTGTTTTCCTGTTTCCTTGTTTTCACTGTGTTATTCTCTACTGCTTAGGGGTAAAGCTAGGAGGAGAAAGCAGCTCTGTATGGTGTGATGTCATTACCTGCGTTGTGAGAAGTTGTCAGAGGAGAATGAATAGCCCCATACTTATCAAGCAGGAAAGTGAGGAAGTAATCTACAGTCTGGAAATCACCCAGCACCAGCTTGTGTTGAGTAATTGTGTTCCAAAGACATTGTACTCTTTGATACTGTATCCCTTTAGAGTAGGCAAAACAAAGGCACCAAAGTAATTTTCTATTTCTGCTTTTTCATTGATTGCTTAAATGAACAAACCACACTGGCTTTGTCCCTGTGGTCTTTCTGTTTATTCTCCTCATTTATGTGTTTAATTGTACTAAGTGACTGCGGTGAATAGCGCATGGGTGCATCATTTGAGCACATTCAATTTAAATTTGAATGTATACATATGTAAAGCCAAGCAAAGGTTTGCAGGGTGTTGAGCAGGTTAAAGGAAATGTAATGCTTGAATTTGAAGCTGTGAAAACACTCTTTGCTCTCAGCGGGAGCTAGCTTTTTCTCCCTGCTACTCTGCATGTTTACCATAATTAAAACACTTTAGTTATTACATGTCATCTAGAGACCTAGTATTATGTCAAAGAAAGGTTTTTAAATGTTTTCTTGAGCTAAAATAACTCAATCTTTGATATCTTGAGATTTACTAGATATGTAGGTGTTGTCATTTCCGGGTCTCCTGTGTGTCTTTGCTGCTGCATGTTTGTCTTGCTTATAGCTTAACTTAGTCGATCTTGTTTAAACTCTTGGTCACAGCAGTTACTTCACGTTGTACATCTAATCACAGGTGCAGTTCAATAACTCATAATCCTCCTTCTATTAACGACGCAGTCTTTTGGCTTTGCTAATGGTAGCTACCATAGCTTGATAGCTGACGATGATAGCTAACGATAGCTCTCCTCCCTCCCTATGATGCTATCGCCTGTTCTATGTGCCTCATGTTGGGTTATTTTGCCTGCCTCCTTTACTGGTAACGGTACATGTGTTCAATGTATTATAGTTGCAAGGTTGGAGGCGGGAATTGTAGCGATAGACAACCCAGTCTCACGGCATTTCGTGTTATAGTCACGACATTTAATCTATTGATTCGTGTTCAACACGATTTTCCCCTTTTTTTCGTGTCACACAGAACAATTTTAAAAGCAATGTATTTCTATTGGTAATATGTTTCGTGCCTGCACCACGTCTTTTTGTCCGGTCGGGTCTTGGAAGACCGGAAGCTGTATGGTTCATAAAAACATGTTCTTTATATTTACAGTCTAAGGTTCTTACGATTATTGTTTTTATTTTTAAATCGTATAATGTCGGACTTTTTCTCCTTCTAATTTATTTTCTAAATAACACACTGTTATTTACTCAACAATAACATACAATTATCCTTGTTTTTATTTATTTGTTTGATTCCATAATCTCGTGCTTTTTTGCCGCCCGTCAGGAACTGAATTTCAAAATAAAATACCCAGAAACAGATACACAGCCACTGAACTGATTACCCAAGGTCCTCAGCTATGGTTTAAGCTCGGTGATTGGATTGTTTAGCCGCAATGCACGTTGGGATATGATGTTTATGCGATATATGAAGTCCGAAAAACATTTAAAAAAAATTATATTTATTCCGAGTGTGCTTGCTTTTCTCTTTGAAAGTCATCACATAACGGCTTTGTAATACACGGTTCGGCTGCATTAAATATTACATATCTGCCGTAGTTATTTATTTATAGAGCCCTAATTAGAAGACTTCTAGACAAACTGGAAGAACTGCCATGGAAACTGAATATGTGACGTGGATCATAAATATATCAGCAATTAAACAACATCTTAAATTTCTCTTCACACAATACGTCTCCTTGCAGTATCAACATTAATTCGGCTGACTTTTAGATTTGATCCAATTAGTAGATAGGCTATATTTACACCATATCGGTTGCACAGCTGATAGAAAAGGACTTGTAGTTTTTAAAGATATTACTGATTTTCTTTGAATATAAGAATGTAAATACTGAGTTAAAAGAATAGTCAGGGGTTTTGGGTGATGGGAGAAACATCTATGGAATCAGAATTTCAATAGCTTGCCATTAAATGGATATGCCTTTATGTCTGTGATACAAATCAGATATTAATGTGTAGAAGTAAAGCATGAGCAATAGTATAGCAATATCCTGTAAAATGATGTGAAAACATGAATAAAACTACACATCTTTAGATGTTATACATACATAAGTGTCCTACACTAATAATAAAAAGTAATTATGGCTCTGTGTACCTTGTGTGCACCGCCTAGTGGTTAAAGCACGTTATTGAATTATTGTTTTTATGTGTTTTATTTGATGAAAAAAATATATAGATGATGGAAATATAGAATATAAAATATCAAGAAGATACTGTAAGTGATCTCTACAATAAAACAGTTCACAGTGCAGGATGTACACAAATATTAATAGGAGGATGTGCAAAACAGAAAAACTAATGAACCTTTATTCAAACATTAAATAATACTTTAGATTAAGGTCTTCTTTTAAATAGGAAGAAAGCTTTGGGGGTATCTACAGATGACAAAGTACCGTCTAATATATCGCTTTCCTGTAATGTTAACTATGTTGAAGCACTTATTTTAACTGATATTATACACATGAATTATACTCTTATGTATGTAGATAGTATAATAAATGTGCAGAATATGACAGTTTAATGGTGGAGGTATACACACATATTGATAGATGTCTTGTCATGCACTGTTGAGGAACCTGCGACCCAAGACTTTCATTCATTGCATAACTACACCATAGTTGTGTATATGATATGTCAATAAACCTTAGAATATCTTGAAATCTTGAAAGAGATGTGCAAAATAGCCATTATATACAGTCTTTAATGAACTATTAGTACAGAATAAAATAGAGAGAATTAATATCACATTAAATCTTTCCCACTCTAATTAACAGAGCACTGCAGAGCACTGACACTTACCATGCTGTGCTGAAATATTTCAAATGTAGCCTAAAAACCTTTGCTTTAAAATAAAACATCTCTCTGTATAACAAACTGGCTGGATGATAGCTGCAAGTAGGATTCTATGTTGTTAGATTGGCAAAAGTGCAGATTTTTTTTAGAGAACATCCCCTAAAGGTCCCACGCAAGCCTTAAAAAAAATATATTTTTGCCAGTTCCCATAGTAACAGTGACAAGTGAAAGGGAGAGGAGCCACCCTCGTAAAACACAGTTCAGAGCTCCAACATGGCACCCAGTCAAATCGCTGCATGGTCACAAACAGCTGGAGTAAACTGTCGAACATTAGTATGGTTAATGTTGCAGAGTGCAGAAGCAGCATGTTCAAACGGGCCGAGCTGTCCCTGCGTCTCATGCAGGTCCAACATGGATACATTACAGTGGGACGGCGCTTGTGATCTCTGCTGATATTGTGAAATGCTAGCCCGTCTTGAGCAAGCTTGTCAGCATAATCTCCCGCACTATCAAAGAACATCATTACGTTTCAAGGATGTAAGAAATGTTCCTTTTTAGAAGACATTTCTGTGAATGTAATGGCAGACACTGCATCCGTTATGAAGACATGAAAGAGTCTTAGAGGTGAACTTGAGGGTGGGCACGGCATTTCCTTCTAATTCTTTTTGAAGTCTTCTATGCAGTCTTGACATTGGCTGAGCTTAATGACCCGGTGGTGGAGTTAAAGAAGTATGCTGATGCTTCATTAACTTCAAAGAGCATCTTTGTGCCTCCCTATAGCCTGAGACAGGCCTGGCTGAGACGTGGCAGGTGAGAGAGCCCACTGCTGGCTGCTGTTCAAGGCTGCACCATGGGGGCCTCAGTAATGTTAGCTAAGTGTTCTCCCTTCGTAGAAAGGGAAGGTGACCAAGCCGTTAGTTGCAGGACATGCTCAGCAGAGCGACCAGAGCTGAACATTTCTAGACTAGTGCCATTTCATTTCCTTGTTATAGCACATTGCAATGTTTTTGGACTAAGAGGCCATCCAGAGTGTTTCTACCGTCAATAAATCTTCGCTAAAC